AAGCTGATAAAACATCATTAATCGACAATTAATTCACACAACTTCAGTCCAACAAATGTCATCTTGTGAAGCGAAAAGCTGTGTGTTTGAAGTAAACATCCATCATTATGGCATTAAACCGTCACTTCTGGCCAAATTAGAATGGCCCATTAGAATGGTTTTGGACTTTTTTCATTTGAAAATGAAGCTTACTTCCCCGGGCGGGGAAGTCGTGGCCTAATGGTTAGAGAGTCGGACTCATAACCCAAAGGTTGCAGGTTCGAGTCTCGTACTGGCAGGGATTGTAGGTGGGGGGAGTGAATGTACAGCGCTCTCTCCCACCTTCAATACCACGTATGAGGTGCCCTTGAGCAAGGCACCGAACCCCCAACTGCTCCCCGGGCGCCGCAGCAAAAAAATGGCTGCCCACTGCTCTGGGTGTGTGTTCATGCTGTGTGTGTGCACTTTGGATGGGATAAATGCAGAGCACTAATTCCGAGTATGGGTCACCATACTTGGCCACATGTCACGTCACTTAACACTTAACTTAATTTGTGCATATTTCTCTCCTGATTCAGAGAAGATGACTTTTTCACTGGAGAAAGAAATATTATGGATAGAGGATTCACATTTCAGCTGGAAGCAACAGTATGAAGGTAAAAACGTCTTAACGATGGATTTGTTTATTACAAACACCGTTTAGAATATTAGGCTACAGTAAAAGTATGTGATATTTATTGTACTTAAATATGAAACGTATTTAATATATATATATATATATATATATATAAAGATGACTTTTTCACTGGAGAAAGAAATATTATGGATAGAGGATTCACATTTCAGCTGGAAGCAACAGTATGAAGGTAAAAACGTCTTAACGATGGATTTGTTTATTACAAACACCGTTTAGAATATTAGGCTACAGTAAAAGTATGTGATATTTATTGTACTTAAATATGAAATGTATTTAATATATATATATATATATATATATATATATTAAACTTACGTAAGTATCATGCTGATATCTGGCGAAAAAACGATATAGATTAAATGATATAAATAAAAAGACGAGGCATTTTGCCTCTTATCTTGAATCTAATGGGCATTCTAAATGCATTTTAATAATAGACTAAATCACAGTGTATTCGTGCACTCTCTGGGTGTTTTTGTTTGGTTTTTGTGATATAGCCTACTCGATGATGTCAGATCGCACACAACACTTACGATATTAGCGAAGACAATATACAGTATAGCGCACAGCCCAGGCGCGACTTGAGTGGAAAAAAGAAATCAACCGCGGTTGTGTGAGAACTTGTTGTTTTTTTAGGAGTTTAACTGGCAAGCACCAGACCACTGATTAGTCAAACCTGCTTTCTTGCAGTCTGTGTGTGTTCTTCCAACATTGTGGTAAGTAACGAATATGTTTCGGGGAAATGTATCAGAGTAAAAGTATACATTTTAATTAGGAAATATAAGTGGAGTAAAAGTGAAAGTTGACAGAAATATTAAAACTCAAGTAAAGTACAGATTCTCCCAAAAAATACTTAAGTACTGTAACGAAGTATTATTACATTACACCACTGTATGAGATGGCAGATGACCTTGAAGTAAGTGTTAAACATTAGTTACATCCATTATTGATACACACTAATTAAACAAATTGTTGGACATTCAGGGTCGCTCTGCAGGAATCACAATGGTGCAACAGTCATATTCAGAATCAAGAACACCAACACCTTCACCTCATCTCTCAATCCTACACAAGCATGCATCCAATAGAGGATTCGCTATTCATCATTTCACTTCTGCTGAGCGAAATCACAGAGAACCCACTCCAAAAGCCAATTAACCCACACATTCATGCAATCAATGACAGCTATACAGATCCTACACCTTGAGCGAGAATGAAATCTGTAATGAAGTCTTACCCGGTCAAACAATCGCTGGCTGTTGTGAGTGTAATAGCCCATTTAACAGAGAATTGGTCCGGCTTAGTGTCAGTAAACTTTGACTTCAATTCTCATTGTTCTCACATCATATTTGAACAACACTGTTATTCCACGCTGAGTAGTGTGAGGTGGGATTTGGGAGGGATGAGTGAGGTTTAAATCTTTTAAAGAGTTTGATAGTCACTGCACAAAATCAAACATGCCAAGGCCCATCTCATTCCAGACAAGGTTTTGCAGAATAATGCTGCTGAGAAAGAGAAAGTGAGACAGATATGTAAAGAGATCAATTATTGGTTGGCTGCTGGTGGAATCAGCAGAAGCTCATCATGTCATATCTTGGCAACCATCATTTCATTTCTCAAAATGGCACAATATCATTACCCCTGTCTTTCTCTGATGCAAACACAGCACTGATTTTAAGTAATAGATGTGTTTAGTGCGTAAGGTCAAGCAGGAAGAGAAAGAGTGGTATAGTCCGACACCCATCATCCTCCTGCTGTGACGTGCTGATTGATGAATGGTACACAAATCACTCCATCTGAAAAAAAGACAGCGTGAGAGAGACAGAGACATGCTGTCAACCAAAGAAATTCAGATCTTAAAGGCATAGTTCACTCAAAAATAGAACGCTCATGTCATTCCAAACCTGTTTCTTCTGTGGAACACAAAAGAAAAGAGTTTCAAAAAGTGTTTTCTTGTCCGTACAATAAAAGTCAATGGCATCCAGTGTTTTGGACCCCAATGAATTTCACTGTTGTGCTGGACAAAAACAAGTTAAAAATATCCTCGGTTGTGTTCCAAAGAAACAAAGAAAGTAATACGATGTCAAATGATGACAGAATTTTTATTTTTGTGTGAATTATGTCTTTAAAGCTATCTGTATTATTTACTATTCTCTCAATACTTTATTGATCAAACTGTGGCAGTCTGTCACAAAGGGAACCTTGGGGACCCGCTTTGAGTAGGTGAGAGTTCCTTAAAAAAAAAAAGGGATGGCTAATATTTGTAATATTTGCAAATAATGACTGTGGTCCATGGCAGTGATGTATAAATGATTGCTCATCCGGGAAACCATGTTTTCCTCTTGTTCTGTCTCTCTGTGGTCTCTGAAAGCAAGCTAATAAAATAATTACAACTCAGATCAATATTCCATACCCATTTATTTATTTATATAGTAAGTAGCCATGTAGGCTAATAAGTGGTATAATAATCTACAGTTGGCAGGGCATTACCCCCCCCCAAAAAAACCCTTCAGGATGACTGTTCACCCAGTCAGGGTTTATTTTGTGATAATGTCCCTCTGACTGTACATTATTCATGAGATATTTTGAACAAACTACAATCGCAGCTGAATTACTTTTGAAAGAAATCTCATTATTTCCATCAATGAGTTCCTGTATCTCTCTCTTAAAACTGTACTAATCATCTCCACGCTGCCAGAGTTACAGTGTTAATCATAAATGATTATTTTACAGCTCCTCAAAACTACTTCGCATTATAGATCCTTAATTATACACATCTCCTTACAGCCCAGATAATCATCTCCAGCAGCATGACGGTGGGAATATCAGAAGATTTAACAACCGCTTGGAGGCGCTGTTGTTTGCTGAAATTCATCTGATGGCCAGAAACCGTCGCCTGTAAGTTTTCTAATGTGAGGCCAATCGTGAATTATAAAGGGCAACAAACTCTAACGTCGTGTTACACGTTTCAGGAACACAGGTGCTTTTTGAATATTGCCGTGTCTGCTGAGAGCTTCTTCTCAAAATAAAAATCACTGAGAGAAAAACACTGTTGGTTGTTTAGAACTGTCGACAAAATAAACCAAAACTCAGATCAGTAGCCTACAACATTATACTATGCATTATTCGTTATATCTGGCCTTGAGGTGACAATTAAAACACATAATAAAAGGCTATCCGTCCTGTCCCTGAAATCCCTTTCACACTCAGTTATACATGACAGACCCGTAATTCGCTGCGCTTCCGCTAGAAGGCGCAATGTGCACGTAGAAGAGACGAACAGCGCGAGAGCTTTCAACTCATTTCGGCACGATGAGAACTTGGTAGCCGTGCGACAAGAGCTTAACACAGCACCCACACATTGCCATGCTAATAACGGAGGAAAAGCAGAGGAGAGCATTCTGAAATGAGAGTTTGTTTCTTGATATCAAGCAATCAGTTTAACCTTTCGCAGACATACATACGGCAGGCCGGAGAAAGAGATAAAACAGAAGGAAAGACGGAGAGAGATAAATCTTGTTACTACTGATATGAGGCTCGCAGGTAAACAATTGGACGACAGTCTCATTAGCTGCAAACGGGACCGGCGCAGAAGCAACACTGTAAAAATGATACATTTTCGTTTAAAACCCTGCTTTCTTTGCTGGAAAAGAAGTGATTGGCATGTATTTTGTCATTAAAATGTGTAGTTAATGCCAGTATACCCACCAATTTGAGCTATTAAAATCTGCTTGTTACTGTAAAATGTACTGATGATGATAACCCTAGTGGTATAATGGAAGGCCATCATGTCCTCAACCCCAAACATCTAAAAACACGTGTACAACATTTTAATGTAGTAACACATGTAGCCTATTTTACCTTATACTGTATGAGGTGACATCCGGTTAACACTAGTATTACTATCCTTGTGGGGACATTTGGTCCCCATAACGTGATAAATACCAGGCACACACACACACACACACACACACATTTACATTTCTTATAATAAATGCTAAATGAGAATGAATTGGTCAAGACTAGAAAATGACAGACTACTGTCCTCGTTGAATCACGCTCTCCCGTGCCTTGAATATTTACCTTGAATGCGACTGTTTGACTTTATACGACATGTAAATCAATTCTCATTCTCTGTTTAAAGAGAGCTGGAGTGGCAATGTAAGGGCGCACTGAGGAGGGAGGGAGAGTCTGATTGACGTTCCCTAGGTCGAATCAGGTGCCGCAGCGCCGGCAGTCCGGGGCGTCCATTGGCTGCTGGTGGCAAGAGCTCTGCGCAAAACAACACACTGATGCTCACTCTCCTTGCAGAACTCGAGAAGAGGGGACCTATGTATTTCTAAGCATCCAGCAGATATTATGGACTATTAGAAAACTATATGTAGAAAAGTGTTATTAGTCTGCAATAGCTCGCGTTCAGGATTTTATTTTAAATTGATCTACTCTCTCACTAAGCAAAAGAGTTTTGGAAAGATTTTGCTTCTCAGTAATAAGGATCGGGACATCTGTAGGTTCTGCAATGTCTTGCTGTGACGAACGGACTACTAAATTCTGCTCTTCTTGAGACAGCATTATATCAAATGGCTATAGATATTGCGCATATGGCGACATGGTTTCAGGCTGACACCGTACAACACAGGAGCTTTCTTGTTCGTTTGGGAAGTTGCACAGTGCATATGTTTTCTTGGACCAAAGCGATGGGTTATTCCTAAACTGTGCCTGGAGAAGAAACGGTGTCAAGACAGAGCGAGGGAATAAAGAGGAGTGCACTTGTTGTTTGGAGATGATCTTGATATTTATTTTTTTCTCGATCTTGGATGGAGGGTTATCGCAGCTGCACTTCTCGGTACCGGAGGAGCAGGAGCGCGGGACGGTTGTGGGAAATATCGCCGAAGATCTGGGGCTGGACATCACCAAACTTTCCGCGCGCCGTTTCCAGACCGTTCCTAGCGCGCGCACGCCGTACCTGGAGGTCAACTTAGAGAACGGAGCGCTGGTAGTGAACGAGCGCATCGACCGAGAGGAGATATGTCGCCAGACCGTCCCGTGCCTCCTGCACCTCGAAGTGTTTTTGGAGAACCCGCTCGAGCTCTTCCGCGTCGAGATCGAGGTCATGGATATTAACGACAATCCGCCGAGTTTCCCGGAGACGGACATCACCGTGGAGATCACCGAGAGCGCCACACCGGGCACCCGCTTCCCAGTGGAGAACGCCTTTGACCCTGATGTGGGGACTAATGCCTTGAGCACATACGCCATCACCACTAACAACTACTTTTATTTGGACGTACAGACGCTGCGCTCTTTTGATTACGAGCAAATAAAAGAGTTCAGTTTTATGGTCCACGCCAAAGACTCCGGTGCGCCCGAGTTAACGGCCAACGCCACCGTTAACGTCATCATAGTAGACCAGAACGACAATGCCCCGTCTATAATTGCGCCTCTGGGCAAAAACGGCACCGCGAGGGAACATTTTCCCCGCTCAGCCGAGCCGGGATACCTGGTCACCCGTATTGTGGCCACGGATGCGGATGATAGTGAGAACGCGCGCCTGTCATACAGTATCCTCCAAGGAAACGAGCTCGGGATGTTCCGGATGGACTGGAGAACCGGCGAATTACGTACC